AGAAATCTTGAGCAAAAGTAAGTATAACAGCTTGGCTTGAGCGTTTTCACTCTAACGGATTATCACATTATTCGCCAATGAATAGTAAGATATTAATACGTCTGCTAGTTGGCACAGCTGAGCGTCTTAAGCGATGATTTCCATGATTACAACTTCCACGGTTCTTTACTGTTTTAATTGTTTTAATGTATTACAAATAAGGATCATATATATTGGAATCGTGACCAATGCATCATTAAATTCGCGATACCCTGGACGGAAGTTACACGAAAACATCAAGGAAAACCTTATCGAAACTTAATTTTGTTGTTATCTTGTGTGTTAAAATACACAATTTTCATGACAAAGACACAATGCCAATAAAAGTATTAAGTTAATTAAGGAATATTTTTTAATATTTGTGAATCTTGAATTTTGTGTGATCCTTTCTTAATTTATGTTCCTCATTTTTTTAATTTCGTATATATTCTTTTTTTTCTTCTGAAAAAGGACTTTTAAACCCAATGAAGATAAGGTAAAAAAATTTTTAATATTATACAAGGAAATATATTGTTCGTTTTCTCTTAGAGAAAAGTTAAATTTAGAAAAATACCTTTTAGCATGGGACCGTGATCATCTGATTGCAAAACTTATTTACTATTTTTAGTTACTCCACAGTAGAATAATTTAAACATTAACTTATAAAGAATACAATATCAAACATTAAAAAAAAAAATTCAGGGATAAGATTTTCAGCGTTTCAGATTTTTTATTTTTTATTTTCATGACTTATTAAAGTAATTCTTTTTTCCGCAGTTCATTTCCAAATCCGTGATTCTCCTCCCTTTTTTTCCTGTATTATTAAAAAAAAATTTTTTTTTTTCTTCCATTAAGAAAAAAAAAATATTTTTTCAATTCCCTTTCGTTCTTCCTACTTCCAAAAACAAAAACATTTTTTTTTTTTTGACGAGTTTTTTTTTTTCCTTTTTTTTCAAAATCACTTTTACTAATCTCTTCTCCCTACCCCTTAAAATAAAAACTCGTACTCAAAAAAAAAAAAAAATTTACAGCCCTGCGGGCCGTTAATAATAATCTTTCCTTTGTACAACTAGTATTTTTTTCTTACCTTAATAAAAAAATGGGTTGTTGCTTGAGTCAAGAAGAAAAGGCAGGAAGACAAAGGAATGATGAGATTGAGAACCAGCTTAAAAGAGACAGGCTCTCTATGCGTAACGAAGTAAAAATGCTCTTGCTAGGTAAGTAGAAGGAAGGATTCACTGAAACTACCCAGGTTTTGTTTCGCTTGCATAAGCCTCAATTCCTCTCTAATGCTATCGATACTTATCTCATTATAATATAGGTGCTGGTGAATCCGGCAAGTCAACAATTCTTAAACAAATGAAACTTATTCATGACGGTGGTTATTCTCCAGAAGAGAGAGAATCGTTTAAGGAAATCATCTTCTCAAACACCGTACAATCAATGCGCGTTATCTTAGAAGCTATGGATGTTATGGGAATATCTTTAAAAATTGAAGGAAATCAAAAATTTGTTGCTATTATAATGAATTTGCCTAACCAGATTGAAGGGGATCACTTGCCTCCTGAAGTTTCCTCGGCTATTAAATCTTTATGGGCTGATAAAGGTCTTTTAGAATGTTTTAACAGATCTAGAGAATATCAATTAAATGACTCTGCAAAATAGTAAGTTTTTAAGCAAATAGTATTTAATCTTTAGAAATTGAGAAAGTTTTATCACGTTATCCTATAACGAGAGGATAATTAAACGAAATCTTTGAACAATCAAATCAATGATATATTACGTTTCATTTCGTTTTTCTTTTATCACACTCAAGAAATTAAAATCACTTTTTTTTTTTTTTAAAGTTACTTTGACTCTATTGACCGAATTGCGAAACCAGAATATCTCCCAACAGATCAAGATGTATTACGCTCTCGTGTAAAGACCACAGGTATTACGGAAACAACGTTCATAATCGGTGAACTCACGTATCGTATGTTTGATGTAGGAGGTCAACGTAGTGAACGTAAGAAATGGATTCACTGTTTCGAGAATGTGACAGCCATTGTATTCTTGGTTGCTATATCAGAGTACGATCAATTACTACTAGAAGACGAATCAGTGGTAAGTACATTAAAAAGGTTTTTTTTTTTTTTTTTTTTTTTAAAAAAAAAAAATAATAATAATATTAATAAAATATTTTATCAATTTCCCTATTAGAATCGTATGCAAGAAGCTTTAACATTATTTGATTCAATTTGTAATTCAAGATGGTTCGTGAAGACTTCTATTATACTCTTTTTGAATAAAATTGATAGATTTAAGGAAAAGCTTCCAATATCTCCAATGAACAATTATTTCCCCGACTTTGAAGGAGGAGATGATTACGACTTAGCGTGTGATTACATACTTAATAGATTTGTATCATTGAATCAAAGTGATATTAAACAAATTTATACACATTTTACATGTGCTACCGATACACAACAAATTAAATTTGTTATGGCCGCCGTAAATGATATCATTATTCAAACTAATCTAAGAGATTGTGGATTATTGTAAACGATTCAACTAATGTTGGGAAAAGTTTGAGTCTTTTAATTATTATTTATTAGGGGCGAGATAAAAGAATTTTATCTTTAAAAAAAAATTCTAGAAACATTATTAATAATAATATTATTAAACATCTTTAAAATACCTCAAATCGTAAATATATTCTATAAGATAACGCTATCAAAAAAAAAAAAAACAAAAAAAAAAAAAATTTATTAATAATTATTAGATCATTTTATTAAATTATTTTAGTTTTCATTTTCATTATTCATTTAATTGGTATTTGTTTAAGGGTTATAGTATTTGTATAAGTACTAAAAATGGATCGAAATAAATTTTTTGTAATTTTGGGATCTATTTTAATTTATTTTACTTTTATTTTTATTGAATTTTATAGTGTTGAAACGGTAATGTCAAATTTAAAATTAGGTATTATAATCATACGTTAACCCAGAAATGAATTAGCCATATAGGAACTAGTATAGAAACGATTTAAAGATTCAAAATGGAAGTATTTTTTAACTAAAGAGACGTTCTTCGGAATTTTCGTTTCAAGCTGAAAAAAAACACCACACCAACCCTTCAAAAAACGGGATTTTATTTTTATAATAAGAATGATCAATTTAATATCAATAATATGTAATGGGAAAAAAATTTTTTTGATAATTAATTTTCGACCAAAGGTACCAAGCTAAGTCTGCATAGACTAATTTTAGTCCCAACTGTCAATAATAAATCTAAAAATTTGATTTGGTAGAAGTTGAGACAATACTTTTTTTTTGATTCACGACTAGGGGGAAGGACAATCCCCAAAACGGAGTTTTAAAAAATAAAAATCATTACATAAAATGGCGTCAATCGTTTGAATTTATCGAATGATCTATAACAGAACTCAAACTAATTAATTAATCCATGACACGTGTATCATCAAAATAACTGTACAGTAACCTTAACTTAATTTAGTAGGACCAATCAAAAAATGAAAATTTTTTAGTCTTTATAAGATAAGTCCCAAGACTTGTTCCCTTCGTTCCTAGTATTACCACCGAAAATTTTTAAACCACGTGACTTTTGACCGGCATTATGGCATTAAGAAATTAACCATGTTATGAAAAATAGGATTTAATCTGAAAAAAAATTGTGGATATGATACAGGATGATAATGATCATCTAGAGAGTGATAATACTGAAAAAAAATTTATTTATTATTTAATTTTTAGATCAATACAATCCAATCTAACCAATTAAATATTATCTTATAAAAGATGATTAAATTAATTTCAAATTTTTTTTAAAAAAAAAACAATTTTATTAAAATTAAAATGCATTCAGTTTCTTCAATAATGGCTTTTGTTTCTTTACGAATGAAGAAAAGCAGACCAAAATAAATCGGTTATGATTTTTTTTTTAAAAAAATATGTTTATAAATTATTTTTGATTTTTCTAATTTAAATAAAGTTTTATTTTATTTAAAAATTTAAAAATATAAAAATGATTAGTTTATCTAGTCTTAAATATCTTTAAAAGATATAATTATATAATTATTTAACTTATTATTAAGTAAACTAAAATACTTATTTATTTGAATTACAACTAGATTTAGCTTAATAATTTCATTAATTTTAAAGAGACTTAATTAAAAATTACTTTTACTTATATTTTTATTTAATATTATTCTAGTATTTATTTATAATTTAAAGTTTTTAAGTTAGAAAATATGAGAATTTTTCAAATTTTAAATATTTATAAGTTCAAAAGATTTTTAAGTAATTAATTAATAAAGAAGTTAATATATCAAAATAAAATATAACTTTAACAAATGTTTAAAATATATTCAAAATAAAATATATATTAAAATAAAAATATTTTTAAAATAAAATAATATAATAATATGTGTTTAAATAAATAATTCAAAAATAAAAAAAAGTGGTATTTTATATTTAAAATATATATAAAAAGAAATACTTAAGAAAATATTTCTTTAATTAATATTAATAGCAAACACTCTTTAAAGAATATTTACTATTTATTAGTATAATGTTACCTACTTATGAATATAGTATTGTCTACTTATAAACATGTTACTTATTTATTCATTTTTATTACTCTGTAGTCTTATTATTATTTTTCTGCATTATTTATCTTTTTTTAGTATTTTGCACTGTATTCATTTTAGGCTTGTAAGTCATTATAATTGCTTTATTGATCACTTTTATTCTTGAGCTTATTTGATTATTTTATTCATTTTTACTATGTTGTAAATTATTATTATATTACTTGAGGTTTATAGTTAGTCAGGAATACTAGATGAATTATGTTTATTTTTGCTATTCTTGAAGATTTATAGGCTCTCTTTGTGTATTGGATTATTTGTATAGTGAGTTGATAATTTAGCTCTTTTTTAATGATATTTTTTTATGACTTTTTCAGTATATTTTATGTCTTTGTGAGGCTATTTGAAGCTCAATTTGGCATCTAAGGTGAGGTATATGGGGCCTTTGCAATAGAAAGGGAGGAAACTCCAAAAAAATTAAAATTTTAGTTTATAAGCCAAAAATGTTCC